AAAGTGTTCAATTTCCCCCTCTACCTTGCAGTTGCGAATTCAACATGTGCTGTTCCAAGCTCCACAAAGAACTGCAGCAATTAAAGAAGCCAACAGCATCGAAACTAGGCTCCTCAGCAAACTTCCAAAGCTAATTCTCATCATTCTGAGTTTAAGGGGGCAGTGGATGGGATTCAGAAGTTTTCCTTGTGTCACTTTCCAAGAAATCACAAGAGTCACAAAGTGTCTCTATAGCTAATCAATAGATTACCAGAATGGTTGGCATTCTGAGATCCAGATTCAAGTCTCCACTGTGATATAAGTCACTTAGGGGATCTCAGCCACTTTATTTTAGCCTGAACTGCTTTATAGCGTAGATGTGAAGAAAAAGGGGGAAGGAAGAGAACCATTTGCACTTGAGCTTAATATAATAAATCAGAGATATAACTGTAAATGATGATGATGAGTTTGTGGAGCTGGTGTTTATGTTTAACAATAGAACAATAGAAGAGTGAGATTTTATTTCAGCTAGGAGTTCCATCAGCTTGCTGCTGGGGTCATCCCCTAGTGCCTATGGTGGAGTTGCATTTCTTTGCTATCCAAATCTCTCTCAATGAATACAAGATGTAGCCTAACTTGAGAATAACTAATCCCAATTCTTAGTTAGCTATATAGCTCAGTGAGTTGGGAGTACTTGGCTGTACAGACAGGGTTTGGGAGTTGAACTCTTCACTGTGCCTCTTCAGAGACAAGCCAGTCTAGGTAGCTTTGGGCAAGCTGCACAGTTCTAGAGTGACAGTAGAAAAAAGTTTCCACCTAGGAAACTCTGGCAAGCGTGCTGTAAGTTAGAACAGAGAAAGAAAGAGAAAAGGAAGACTCAGATAAGCAATAGTAAAGTGGCGCTGCGGGCTACACCGCAGAGTTCTGTGCTGCAGGGTCAGAAGACCAAGCAGTCGTAAGATCGAATCCACGCGACGGAGTGAGCACCCGTCGCTTGTCCCAGCTCCCGCCAACCTTGCGGCTCCATAGCATGCAAATGCAAGTAGATAAATAGGGACCACTTCGGTGGGAAGGTAACAGCGTTCCGTGTCTAAGTCGCACTGGCCATGTGACCACTGAAGATTGTCTTAGGACAAACGCTGGCTCTATGGCTTGGAAACGGGGATGAGCACCGGCCCCTAGAGTCGAACACGACTGGACAAAAATTGTCAAGGGGAACCTTTTCCTTTACCTTTAAAATCTTGGCTTAAACTAGACTAACACCTATACATGCAATCAAGAACTGAATAATTTATTATAGATATTATCAGAAATTAATGATGAAGCAAGGTACAAGTAGTATACAGTATGTACGGACTGTTATTAATCTAAGCAAGCAATTTTACATACCATTACTTGATGCCTCAGTGGATTACACAGGCAGGCATTACCAATTTGTAAATGTCATTTCGCAGCAGTTAGCCAAATCTTATCACAAATTTTCTTCCATATTATAAATTTCAACTACTTCCAGTTTCAAAAAGCAAAACTGTAGTTCTATACAGGGGCACACATGTTATTATGATAATGGGTTGATTTTAATAAGCTGGATAGAGTATTATATTTCTGAATAAGCAACAAAGAAAAACTTTACAGAAGTGTTATATAGGGGGAAAAACTTACAGAGATTGGAGTCTCATCAACAAGCACCCTCAAAAGCACATTATTACAAAAAAAAAAAAATAAAAATATGGAAGCAAGATCAGGTTATTCTCTTCCCAACACTAATTTCAGCAGCCGAGTCATTCCAACATTTTGGCTATAATTCAGAACAACTGCCAGTAGCTACTAATATGCTTCCTGAAATTCAAAAAGCAGTGATTTTTGCAAACATGTCACCTCACGCAGATATTTAGGAACTGACAACTAATTTTTTGACTTTGGCCTTTGACTAATCCCTGTACCAGCAACACTGAGAAAAGAAATGTATCTGTCATAACGATGATAGCAGTTTCTAGGCAGATGGGCTGCTTCTTAACTCATACTCAAATGCCAAATGTCAAAAAACTTTTTTATTTTAAAATTGCTCATTTATGGAGAAGATGTTTTCTTTCTAACACAAGAACAAATCCTCTTTTCTGTCTATAGTTGTACATTGTGACTCTGGGAATGTTTGGCAAACGAAGATGTGGGATATTAAAAAATAATAAAATAATAGTATCCCACGCCATTAGCAACAGAACCTACACTGTGTGGACATTTAGCAGAACCTTTTATGGACAGCAACTGACTTTTCCAGAATCTCTTTAAGGCATCACTAGACTCTTTGCTTATTTATTTTGGTGTCATTGGGTTACAGCACACTTCCTAAGACATGTCAATACATTTCCAGCTACTCTTCTGAAAATTCTTAACTTTGATATGCTGCTGGTCCTCTTTTTTTTCAGGCAGCAGAAACTTCTAGTGTACATATATTTTAAAGTTTGGAGGTTAATTGCACTTGAAAGACAACAGAGACCTGTGGCACTTGGATTGCAAGGACCTGTCATCAGGTGAGGAATACCTGATGATCAGGAGATCAATACCCTTCACCTCGATGACTGCCGCCAGATAAATGGGGCTGGGAGGGGGAGGTGGGGAGGAGGCACCTAAGTAAGCCAGGACAAGCTGGCCTCTGGCGCCACTTCTTCTGTAAGCCATTTGGCAACCTTCTCTCAGGCGCGTTCCAAACGGCTGATCACACCCGCCGGTGGTCAGGACAGAGTCCAAAAAAAGAGCAGGCGCTTCCACGCAACAAGAGGCTGCTCGCTCGCCGGCCACCTCGTTCTCCGCGCTTGGAAGAGGCCCCCTCAGCCTGCACACTCACCAGGTGGCGGGATGTGGAGACACGCCACTTTTTTTTTTTTTTTTTTTTTTTGCCCTGGCCCGCCTTCCTCCCGCCGCTCACAGGAGAGCTGCGTGGCCATCGAAGGACCGGCTTGGAGGGACTTCCCCTTCGGGAGGGGGGGGCTCCAGGCTGCAAAGAGACCGCAGCCCTCAACCTGCTGCCAGAAAAGAGGAAAGCAGACGGGGGGTGGGTGATTTCAAACCGGAGGGGAGCCGAACCGGTTGCATACAGGCACGTGGGCGCCGCTGGAACTTAAGGAAGGGAAGGATGGCGGCTTGCTTCAGCTCGGAGCCGCCGAAGGAGGTCTGGAGGGGGGGGGTTCAGGGGCGACGGGCGCACCCCTCAGCTCCGTTCTTTCTCGGTCTCCTTTAGGGCCCAACCTGTCCTCTCCCTTCGAAGCCACATTTCAAGCACGGCTCTCTAGAAAACACCCACGCCGTTTTAAACCTCAGGTGGGGCGCCCGGGTTCCCTCTGCCCGCGCTCTAGACATGCGCAGAGGCACCGGGGGGGCCGCTTTATTTTCCCGCGGCGGCGCTCCCCGCCGTTCAAAAATAGTAGGTGCCGGGGCTGAGCGCCCGCCACGGCTCTTCTGAATTAAGCCCTGTGCGCGCAGCTGCCAGTGCGTCACCTCATGTTCCCTCTCCGCCTGCCATTGATTCGCCCATCAGGGCGTGTGTTTGAGAAAGGCGCGCGCGCGCTCGCCCGCCCGCCCAGTCACGCCGGCCGGCTCCGGTTTAAAGCTGGGGATGCCGCGCAGCGCTCGCGAGAGGTGTCTCTCCCCCCCCCCCAAAAAATTCACTCCCCTTTCCAGGCACACCATCAGTTCAGAACATGCATTTTGGGGATCGAGGAGGAGGGGAAGGTTTGAAGCTTTACATTCCCCTTGCAGAAGGCTTTCCCGACGAAGGAAACCGTGCTGCTTCTACCTGGGATTAGTCTCCGCGGAACTCCGCCAGCCTTACTTCTGAGCAGGCATGCCCAAGGCGGCGTTGTAAAGTCAAGGACATTCCAAGACTTCTTCGAATGGGAGATCAGATGGCGGGGACGGATCACCTAGAGATCACCTCAGCGTGAAGGACACCTGACGATCGTAGGCTACTGATAAAGTAACCTTGCCATCCCTCGGTGGCGAATGAAAAATACCGTCGGATGGCGTCGGATTCCGCTCCTCGAAGTGGCCAACGTCGTCTCCCCAGGTGCCCACCCACCGGCGGCGGCGGCGGCGGTCCGAGCCACTCAACTCTGGAAACCCTAAATAGCGCCCCCCCCATCCACCCACTTGCCTTTGCCGATAAAGGCACAAGAAATAGTGCTGGAAAGCGGAGCTTCGGGCAGGAGTCCAGGCGGCGAATTCGATTCGAATTCAGCGCGGGCCATCACTTAGCCCTTCTTAGCCCGGTGGGCGCGCGCGCACGCACACACACACACACACACCAAAAAAAAAGGTGTGGAAAGGGGGTAAAAGGCACACCACAACAGACGGCAGTGGATGGATGCGGGCTGGGGAGAGGTGCGGGCCAGAAGTACAAAACGGGAGTTTGGAGAGGAGGGCAGAGATGCTCCGAATTGAGCCAGAGGCCCTTCCAGAAAGCCGAACGCGGCGCGCGGAGCAGGGCAGGCGGCGAGGAAGGCATCTTAAAATTGTCATTTGGGATGTACTCCCTATTATATAATTTCGCACCGAAATAAACAGCTGAAGCCTGTTTCTCCTCCAGACAGTGGCGTTCTTGTTCAGCCCCGTTGGAACACTAGACCCATTCACGTAAAAGGCACTACAGTACCTACCTACAGGCGATCTGCAGACCTGCACATGCACGCACACGGTGTGTATGCGCGCGCATATGCACACACACACACTGTCTGTGTCTGTCTGTCTGTCTGTCTGTCTGATTCTCTCTCTCTCACACACAGACACACACATACCAGACAGAGGCAGAGCCAGCTTCATCTTTCTTCTACACATTTTTTTGCTCTCTTCATTCCTCCTCTTCTTCCTCCCCCACCCCAGCCGCCCCGCTCGCCCGGGCTGCCTTTCCATCGCCAATAATCCGTGCCATGGAGATCATCACCATCATCCAACAAGCCACACACACCGAGCGCGAGAGCATCGTCGTCTGCACCAGCAGCCACCCCCGAGCCATCGCCGCCACCTACCAGTTCTCTTGCATCCACTGAATCGCTTCATTCTCGTTGAATTGCTTTTCGAATTCGTATTCCTGCAAAGTCAACACTGACATGTTCATTGGACCGGGCTGAGAGAGAACGCTTGCCTACGCCTGCTTGGAAAAGATGGTGTCTCTGGGAGACCTTTGTATTTCCCCAGCTCCGCGCACCTCGTCCGGCTTCTCTTCTGTTTCTTCTTCTCCTTCCTCCGTCCTTCCCTCTTTCTCCCTCTCTCTCTCTCAGCTATATCCTCGCTGTAGCATTGCTTTTCCTCTTCTCGTGTCTGGAGATCTCTCCTCCTCTCGGTTTCTGCAATCCACCCTGGGCGGAAAGGCAGCTGCCGCGGTCCTAGTGCCCAAAGGTTTTCCTACACAGTGTGCCCTGAGCCATTCATTCGTGTGGAAGGGAGGGTTATTTTCGGTGATGTTCACACCACGGGAGGGGGAAGAACAAAACACTCCAGTTCACCGGCCGGAACTTGCAGGGTTCTGAAGGAAACCGGCAATGCTATACGAAAGGCTTCTCGATTCACCAGGGTGGAGGAGATGCGGATAATTTCTCTTTCAGACCCTAAACTTGCTGATCTGAGCCCCGTCCCTCATCCTCATGCTGAGTACCTAGTTAGGAGACAGAGTTCCCTTTTCTCTCCCACCCCACTGGCTTTCCCCTTTTTAACAACTGCTTCTATATACTTCATGTTCTGGGGTCAAGAGAGAGTTGTCACCATCTGTTAAAATAAATGAATAAATAAGCTATGTCCAAGGCTATATTTTAAATTCAGCACGACTGTTTTACCAAACGTTTGACATCACAGACAGCTACTCTGATATTGGATGCAGGAACTTTAAAAGATCTTGTGCTTTTTCTCAATCAATCTCCAAAATTCTGCAGGCTGGACCTTTTCACCTTCACTTCATGTCTCCTTTGTTATCCACCGATCAATCGACTTTCTAGTCTGGCTACAGAAATCATATGAAGTTTCCTCTAACTACTTTGGTTTTAAAATAGGAACAAAGAAAGGATGCTGTGGTAAGCATGATCAACACTAATGGATGCATGGCAGGTCTGGTGCCCGGTCTGTTTGCTGCTCCCTCAATGGTGAAGGGAGAGCTTGGTTGCAGACACCTGAATTTTGGCCCTGAGGTTCAGCTATATGTGACCTACCCATTTGTGAAAAAGTTAGTGCCATTCCCAAATGTCAATCCCAGGAAGAACCAACCAACAAAGGGATTCTGTATTCCCTTATACAGAATCCGAAGACAACAGTGGATGATCCTTCTTTTAAACCACTAAAATCTCACAAGCAAAAGCTAGCTTCCAACTCTTGCAGGAGGCTTCATTTTCTTGGGCATTACAGACCTGGGGATGGTGCTGCCTTTCTTAGCTTAAAGCCAGTTCCAAGACAATGGCTGCAGAATCAGCTCTGAGCCTGATCAAGACTTCTGCATAAGAGAAAAGTTACATTTTCTTGTTACATTGTAGTGGTCCAACTAAGTGCTGTCAGTATCCCAACGAAATGTGAATGGAGATATTTTGTTTCATTTGTGCTACTTTTTCTATGTTGCCCTAGCCCTTTGCACCATTTTAAAAGTTGACAAATCATGTTCTACTACAATGAGAAGAGATAGAATTGGGGAGGGGTATATCCAGTACAACCCAAGTTTGGAATGTTTTTTTTAAAATAATTTGTCATAGATATGGTTACATTGCCCTCTAATGAGTTAGTCCTCTGATCTGTTGTGGCATGGACTCCACAAGACCTCTGAACATGTCCTATGGTATCTGGCAACTAGACATGAGCAGTAGGTCCTTGAAGTCTTGAAAGTCATGAAGTGGGTCCTCCCTGGATCAGATTAGGTGTTCTAGCATAATCCATAGATGCTCGGATTGAGTTCTGGGGAATTTGGAGGCCAAGGCAACATCTTGAACTCTTTGTATGGAATTTGGAGGCCAAGGCAACATCTTGAAATCTTTGTATGTTAAACCATTCTTGAACAATTTTTGCAGTGTTGCAGGGTACATTATCCTAATGGAAGAGGCCACTGCCATCAGAGAACACCATTGCCATTGAAGGGGTGTACATGATCTGCAACAATCTCTTGGCATGTGGTATATATCAAAATAACTCATGATCTGCAACAATCTCTTGGCATGTGGCATATATCAAAATAACATCCACATGAATGCCAGGACCCAAGGTTTCCCAGCAGAACATGGCCAAGAACATAACACTGCTTCTGCTGGCTGGCCTTCTTCCCATAGTTCATCCTGCTGCTATCTCTTCCACAGGTACATGACACACACACACACACACACACACACACATACAGAGCCATCCGCATGATCTGAAAGAAAACATGATTCACCAGAGCAACCTTCTTCCATTGCTCCATGGTCAAGTTCTGACACTCACGTCCCCATTGTATGCTCTTTCGGTGGAGGACAGGGGTCATGACCAGTCTGAATGCACAGCAAAATGCAATGAACTGTGTATTCTCACACCTTTCTGTCACGGGCAGCACTAAGTTGTTCAGCAATTTGAGCTATTATAGCTCTTCCGTGCAATCAGACTACAAGGGCTAGTCTTCACTCTCTGCATGTATCAGTGAGCCTTGGACACCTGTGACCATAAGTTGTTCAGCAATTTGAGCTATTATAGCTCTTCCGTGCAATCAGACCACAAGGGCTAGTCTTCACTCTCTCCATGTATCAGTGAGCCTTGGGCACCTGTGACCCTGATGCTGGTTGTCCTTCCTTGCACTGCTTTTGGTGGGCTCCAACCATTGAATATCGGGAACACTCACAGACTTGTTGTTTTGGACATGCTTGGATCCAGTCGTCTAGCCATCACTATTTGGTCCTTGTTTAAGTCACTCAGATCATTTCGCTTGCCATGTCTCCTGCTTCCAATACATGGCCTTGGGCACCTGTGACCCTGATGCTGGTTGTCCTTCCTTGCACTGCTTTTGGTGGGCTCCAACCATTGAATATCGGGAACACTCACAGACTTGTTGTTTTGGACATGCTTGGATCCAGTCGTCTAGCCATCACTATTTGGTCCTTGTTTAAGTCACTCAGATCATTTCGCTTGACATGTCTCCTGCTTCCAATACATGAAATACATTAACATCTCTTGCTGCCTAACATATCTCGCCCCTTCCTTTTGTCTGATTTTAAAGGAACTTCGTCAGACATAAAGAAACAGAATGAAATGAAATGAAAGTATCTAGAGAGACATATAAATGCACTGACTGTTGGGAACAGATTTCTTTTATCAGAAATTAAAATGGGTTTGGGGAAGGAAGGATGATTTTAAGTCCTTGTATTCTGTCAGCAGTTTCATGACGTAATGGAACAGGATGTAGCAGACAATGGCATGGTCTCATCACGTGATGCAGTTACATTTGTTTTCACCCCAGGGCAACCCATAAAGTCATTACAGGCTGGAAAGTGATAAACTTTAGGTCCTCTGTCTTAAATTACATGCATGAGGTTCAAGCTGGTGGAAAACAGGGAAACACTAGAAAATCTTAGCACTGTTTGTAGTGGAGTTAATTTTAAGGGTTAGGTTAAAAGAGTCAATATAGCCGACAATGTAGCTTTGCCTATTTTGCTTGATGACGTTGTGTCTCTGGTGGTATAAACTCATGTAGGTTCCAAAAATATGATGGCACCCTTAGGACCCTTAGGAATTTGTTTCAGCACTATCTTTTGTGGATTACAATCCAGTTTTTCAGATTCACGTGGATTTAAATCTCTTAGTCCTAAATGTGGTACTGTATAATACTTTTGTGTTTCTGTTTCATTTTGTTTTGTGTTTGTTTTTGCTGAAACAGACTAACCTGGCTTTCTCTTTGAAAAAAACAGTGTCCATTTTTCAAAAGTGATGAATATGGTCACCATTACTTAAAAACAACAACATTCAAATGCTAAAAACATTAGCCTGTGATACAAAACACACTCTTACCCTGCCCACTTTCAAGTTACAGTATCTTTACAAATGCACAGCATGAGGCAGCAACAGAAGGCATCAGCAGGTGGCAGCTCTTGAACCATGGGATATTCCTCCTCTACATTAAATTAAAAAAAAAACTTCAGAAAATCAACAGCAATGTCATTTAGTTACACTTGCAACCTAATGTAATTTTGTCTTTTTAACTGGGAAAAGGGATTAATTTCAATTAACCTCTTACCTCCAGGCTCACTTAAAATTGGTTAGCTTTTTGCTTCCAAGAAACATTTGTGTTTATCCTAGCCATAATTTTACAAACAACTCTTGCATATGTCTTAAACCCCACAGAGTTCAATAGGATTTATTGTTAGGTTACAAAAACACATGCACCCAGTGTGGTGTATGGACAGAGTGATAGACCAGGACTCAACAGATTAGGGCCAGAATCTCTGCTCAGCTGTTGAAACTTAGGTGGGTGGGTGGACTGGTAAAACCGCTTCTTAAATATCCCAGAGTGCAACTGCCCTGGCCATTTTGGTGCACTGTGGTGCAGTCCAAATAGGGTCACTTCAGGTTGGAGAAAAGAGCAATATGCCATTTAGTGCAATCATTATTCCAAATGAAATATTATCCCTGAGTGATCCTATTTTCAGCATTTTGAAGTAATTTATTACATCTTCTGCAAATTATTTTTTTCACTATCAATAATGTGTTATTAAATTTTATTAAATTAAATTTTATTATATTAAATGTTTTTTTAAAATATTTTTTCTTTTCTTCACACAAATCATAGAATTCTATGATTCTGTGATTTGTGTGAAGTGCTGATTGAAGCCACAGCTGTGGGCACTTTCTCAATCAGTGCTACACACAAAGCAGAGAAAATAGTTTTTAAAATTTAATTTCAGTTATTCAGTGCCTCAGCAATGATCCAACGATCACCTCCCCTGACCCTTTGTAGAGGAGCAAAAGAAGTGTTCAGCTTACCATATCCTGAGGTGGCTTGCTTATTAAGCCATTCAATGACACTAAAAATTGACACCAGAAGGAGCCTTTGACAGCTATAAAGCTCAATTTCATATGTTCCCAGCAATTGCATGTGCTGGGAATGGACTAAGCCGGAGCATGCCTACCTACATCAAAAAGACAGAATCCCTTGACAGGAGCTCAAAAATGTGTGTTGAGGCTCTCTGGGGGCCAATTGATCTGAACTAGCAATTGGGTCATGTGGTCACTGGAAAAAAGAGTGAATAAACCCACCTCCGTAGTGCATCACACTGCAGGATTAATGCCCATCTGATGGAGCCCTCTCTTATTTTATTAGAATCACTGTAAACTGGGTGTGAATTGATGGC